TATAAATGATTTAAAAATGCTTGACTAGGTATCAAGAAAGTGTATGAAGCCTATGAAAAATAAAGTACCACGCTATGACATTTGTGTTTTATCATAAAATATTAATCAATCTAAAAATTAACTGTTGTTTAACGAACTTTACCAAATACTTTTAGTAGTTACATCTAAAAGTGAGAACTAAATCTAATTTAACCAATATATACCAAGGTATAGTATCTGTTTTTAACACAGAATTTAACAGAAAGTATAGTTTTTACTAAAGAGTGTAAGGACTTCGAAATTTTCTTAAAATTAAAATAATTAACACTCCTGGAATAACAACATGCAGAAACTAGAGAAATATTATAAAGTAGATGAATTAGAAAAACAGGGATTGAAAACGCTGCAGGCTATTTTATTGACCATGATGACGTAACAAATACTTGTAGCGTATCTGGTGTTTGAAAAATGAATGTTTAAACCGGAAAAAATCTTTAATGAATTGTTTTTTTTCTTTTTGCCATTGATATGTAGAAAAAACGTCCTTTAATATCATGATTTCGAAGATAGGCATCAGGTGAAGGATATGTCATTCCATTACTTATTGATCAAATGTAATATTTAGTTTATTTTTAATTGAATAACATTTTCTTCCGTTTTTCTGAAAGACTCCTGGAGTACTTCTAAAATCTTAAATAAAGCATTCTTTATTGACCTCAGGCAGTGATTACAGCTAACGGTGGTGACACAAAATGTTAAAGAAATAAACTCTAAAGCTACTTCATATGCGTTTTGTTTCAGTCATTACGAAGTTCTGAAATATCTGCATAAAAAGAACTCAGCATGTTTTGGTCTTAAAACACATGATGATGATTGTGTAGTCTTCAATTTATGCATAATACTGCGTTTTTACAGATGCTGGTTATGACAGTGAAGTTTTCAACTTGCTACAAATTTTTATATAATTACAAAAGTAAATTTTTAGAAATTATAACTATAATTACTGGTCTGTATGAAATAAAATATTGATAAATGTTCTTAACAAAAAAAGATAAATTACAATAAAAAACATGATGAACCTGCAGTGACTTCTACAGTTAGGCATGAGATTCTTGTTTATAGTTACTTATTCCAACCATCAAGCCCACCAGTGGCACAGCGGACTTATAATGTTAAAAATCGGGTTTCGATACCCATGGTGGGCACAGCACAAATAACCCATTGTGTAGCTTTGTGCTTAACTTCAAACAAACAAAATCCAACTATCAATTCCTCACCAGTAGCTCAGTTGTATTTCTAAAGGCTTATAATGCTGATCATCGGGGTTCGATACCGATGGTGAGGCACATCACAGATAGACCATTGTGTAGCTCTTCACTTAACAATAACCAAATGAAAACCATCAAATAATTAATATTTTTATTTTTTATCGTGAAACTATTATTTGTAAAATGTTTATGTTAAATAGGCGTTATATAGAATCTGATAAATGGTAGATATTTAGAACAACAACAAAAAAACAAACATGAGAAAACGTTACGTCATATTACCAAAATTAAAATATGTAGTAAACAAATGTTCTATGCTCAGTATAAACATTATCCCCAAAATTAGTTATTTTTGTTATGTCTATCCAGCGCTATGACATTTTCATCTAAAGTCAGTCAGAATTAAATATATATTTGAGAATACGGAATCAGTAATTTGTCAGATTAAAAATACAATAGTTATTTTTGATAACAAAATTTACACCAACGCTTTTAAATATTGAAAAAGTCATATTTTTTAAGTCTGAAGCAAAGATGGTATAATTCGCTTGTTTAATAGTCTTCCAAATAATAAGTTCGTTAAATGTTGGTTTAATTGTTTTAACGCAAAGCTAAATGATGGGCTATTAGCAATGAACCAATAGCAGGGATCGAACCATAAATTTTAGCGTTATTAGCTGCTGAAGCTTACTTCTGAGTTACCAGAGGTCTATTTCATGAAATACAGACTTGTATTATTTTAGTCTATACTATTCAACAACTAAACGACATATCTTGAATTTTGTCTTCTCTACACTGTAATAACTCAGTGTAGTATAATCTTTCATACATTGCATGATGACTAAATATTCACTCATATCTCTGAATTATAAGTCAATTATTAAAACTAAAAATAACTTAAAAGTGGTCTCAAAGTGGCATTTTTTAACCAATCATTCTGTATTTTCAGCAGTCGATCTATGAAAGATGTGTTCCTAAGGAAGACCCTGGTCACTGTCGAGAGGAAGATGTCATCAACCCTCAGCCCTCGACACTGATCCCCGAGGTTTGTTTCATAGAATTCGAAATTAATGTGTATGAAATATTTTATTCTGAAGCTAACTACGCAGTTTTTTTTTAATTCAAGTATCGTCAAATTATTTAAGATACTTCCACGATCGTATTTTGTTTCTGTGGCTATACTTCAACTAGTTTTTCTTGCAATTAACTTTAACAAATTTATAAAACATATTTCTTGTTTTCTGTTTTTAGCACACAGCTACACAAAAGGCTATCTGTGAGTTTATAAAGATCTATAACTCACGTGTCCACGTCTTTTACGGAATGCAGTAATACACGTGCTGCTTCTCGGTGGCCCAGCGGTAAGCTTGAGGGCTTTTAACTCTAAAATTTGGGATTCGATCCTTGCGGTGGACACAACACGGATAGTCCATTGTGTAGCTTTATGCTTAAGATGAAGCAAAACAAAGACGCTATGTTTAAGTGTGATTCCTAGAATAATTTTCATAATTTTAGTACACAATTTATTGAGGTTTTAATCTTCAATTTGAAAATATTTATTGTTATTATGTTAACTGCCAGAGTAAATGAACAATTCCGTATTATAAACTGTGGTTAGATATAGAATGTGAGTTCAAACAAACTGTAAAAAGAAAACTTATCAGAAGTGTCTAACTCAAAGTAATTAGTTAAATAGAGTTAAATAAAAATTTAGTTGAGCAGATTGTCGTGCCGAATAAATAGAAATAGGCTAAACGACGTTGAATAAAAACTTCGTGTTTTCTCAAAACTTATATAACGATGTGTGCAAGATACTCCATTTAATACTGAGTTAAGTGAATAATAGATAGTAACACTTTCTCAACAAACTCACAATGCATTTCGTTGTTATCATTTTTCATGATAAGTATTATAAATAGATGCAATATTCGTTGTATTACATTTTCACTGCCTTACCTATTTTTTAAGCCAAGCAACGACATTTTTAGTGCATGACTCGCCTTCACCTATTTTTGTTATTTAAAAGCTTCAATACCCTGGTGACATTATGTTTCAACCACTGTATATTTCAAACCTTTTTTTTGTGTGTGTAAGAAAGAAGTTTATAATGCAGTGTTTGCTGCATATTAATACAATTTTTACCAGGTCTTCTTAATAGAATTTGAGAGTATGAAACAACTGCTTTATTTTCTATGTTTGCCTAATACAAAGCTTGATAATATTTAAACATTTGTGTAAGTTTGAGATATCTAAGCTATATAATGCTATTTGTTATCATCCGACGCCAACTTGTTTGTTACGTAATCAGGCAAAGCTGTTAGTATAGAAACAACACCAATCCAACTAGACTCATTAGTTGATTTCTGTAATGTATATTGGTGTACAGAAGACGTTTTAATACCAGAAATAAACGATCTTATAACACCAAATTGTTGTTTTTATTTAATTAGACACTCATTGTTTCGCTTTAGAGCTTTTTCAGGAACGTTCCACTAAAACACAAACCGTAACTGACAGTACAAAGCTTCAAACATCCGCACTGCTGCACCCAGTGTCTCGTAGGACTTTCACTTTCTTGCCCTCGACATAGTCTTCCCTACTGGCATGTTGTGGTTTGTTTGAAGCTATGTACTGTCAGTTACGGTTTGTGTTTCAGTGAAACGCTCCTGAAGCAGCTGCAAAGCGAAACGTTAAGTGTATAATTAAATTAAAACAACAATTTGATGTTATAAGGTCGTTTATTTCTAGTATTGAAAAGCTAACGAGACTGTCATAGTTTAATGAGATTTATTGGATTTATGTAGACTTGTAGGATAAGCTGTGTATTATGTGCAAGAAATGATTTATATAGGATAAGCTGTGTATTATGTGAACGAAAGGATCTATGTAGACTTGTAGGATAAGCTGTGTATTATGTGAACGAAAGGATCTATGTAGACTTGTAGGATAAGCTGTGTATTATGTGCAAGAAAAGAGTTATGTAGGATAAGCTGTGTATTATGTGCAGGAAAAGAGTTATGTAGGATAAGATGTTGTTGTTTGTTATTAAGCACAAAGCTACACAAAGGGCTATCTGTGCTCTGTCTACCACGGGTATCGAAACCCGGTTTATAGCAGTATAAGTCCGCAGAAATACTACTGTGCCACTGCGGAGCATATAAGATAAGCTGTGTATTATGTACAAGAAAAGAGTTATGTAGACTTGTAGGATAAGCTGTGTATTATGTACAAGAAAAGAGTTATGTAGACTTGTAGGATAAGCTGTGTATTATGTACAAGAAAAGAGTTATGTAGACTTGTAGGATAAGCTATGTATTATGTACAAGAAAAGAGTTATGTAGACTTGTAGGATAAGCTGTGTATTATGTACAAGAAAAGAGTTATGTAGACTTATAGGATAAGCTGTGTATTATGTACAAGAAAAAATCTACCTTGAAGATCGTTATTACAGAAAAATACGTGCTTGAAAATTTCTCAATACTTCACCGCGTGGTAACAGGCACGAAGCGTAATTTACATATTGCGCATGCAACTTAGTTACGTTTAACTACAAATGTTAAGATAGTTTCATAATTAGGTTCATGTGATAGACAGGCAACTATCCCTCATGTAAAATGAAACCCATGTTGACTGGGCTTGTACTAGTTATTGTAAAACTTGAATGGAACAGGGATGGAGGAGTAGAAGACTACTCTACCTGAATAGAAATATTCTGCATCGAGACTGTTCAGATAATTAAAGAATTTAGAGCAAAAGAACACATTTCAAAGAAAGGAGTTTTTATTTTTCAAAGCTCCCACGGCTCTGAAACCACGTCTCCATCTAATCAGGACAATAGTCCAAAGAGTCATTGTTGTGAGACATGGCATGTTTCTTGTGTTGCTAGTAATATAATAAGCAAGGATTTAGAGTTGACGAAGGCTTAAAAGTCAAAAGTTCACAGGCTTCCAGGCACGCTACGAAATCAATGTCTATTTTCGTGAGAAATATGGCTGAAGAAACTGGCATCATAACAATACCATTCTGTCACATATCTGTCAAGTACCCTGATGTAGTTCCAATGGTCTTTTGTGACTTTAGTCTGCTTAAGTGTGCCCTTGGAAGTCATAGACCTAAAACGTTTTGTGGAAAGCTGTAAAAAAATGGGACAATATTGTCTTCACTGTTCTCTGAAACATCCATGATATCATGGAAGCATTGCTACAGGGTCGTTGTTAAAAAGTTTGTGAAGTAGCAAAACTAAGTAATTGTTGTTGTTGTCTTTTAAATACTTAAAAATGTTGATTTTTACAGGGCTTTGGGGCACCTTCGGTTATATAATCATAAGTTTTTATATTCTGTGTCATTTACAACTGTGTTAAAATCATATACTTACAAAAGAAACAACTGGAGTTTTAAATCTTTACATTTTTGATAGCAGATTAGTTTGTAAGTTTCAAAGGTTGTACTTCACTACCACCGGAACATTTACCTGCTATATGGAGAAAAATCAATTAAATGTAATTAAACAACATTATTACATAATGAGCTTCAAAACACAGATGCCATTATCCTTTGAGAGCTACCATTAATACCTAATATTTTCTTGGTTAGAGTGATATGTCCCTGAATAATGGTGAAACTAGCAACAACGGAGAACCTGAAATTGCACAACTTAGACCTAGCAGAGTTAAGCTCAGACTACGAAAGGGTAAGTTGTTCTCATACGCTATATTTCAAGATCATCTGTCATAAACTTTTGTTAAATAAAATACAAACAGATAATTGAAATCAGCATTCGACTGAAAAAGAATGAGTAATACTTTCGTTTACATTTCTTAGGGAAAATATATGTGAAAATATGTTACTTGTATATGCCAGATTAAATAAAAACTTTTACAAGTTATTACCATGTTGACAATGTTATACATGATTTTATGTTTTGTTTTTGTTGGAAAAAATATTATAAAGATGTGAGTTTTATTGATAGATTAAAACTTACCTTACGCTTTGAGTAATATTTTAACACTATTATTTAAATGAATAACTTGTTTATATTCTATAAAAATTTTATATTACTTTTTCAATATTATCATCAAAAACGGAAATTTGAAACTTATTTACTAGTAGTATGGCATTATAATAAACCTGTTTGACCTTTGACATCTAACCCAAGATGACAGATGATTTTTGTTATTATATGGGTGCAGAAATTGTTTTGACATCAGGCGTTCAGTTTCTCTGTTCTCTTGTTCTTTATAAACTCTTTCAAGGTGAGGTTTTATTCTATCTCATTCGATTTTATTGTGCAGTGAGACAGAAAATATCCCTCAATGACTATTGGATAATTTTGTTTAAAGCCAAACCTACATGCTGAGGTATTCTCCTTTGGTGTGGTCATCCTGCTATTGTTTTAGCCAAGAGCTGGAATGAAAAGGCTGGACAAGAGCCCAAGTCACCGGACATATGGTACTTTGTTTCTCAAAATCCTTAGAGCATCTTTCTAAGAAACATGTAGCAATATGGGCTATTGTTATGGCCGAACTGAGTCAACAGTATGGGTGTGTCGAGTTTAAGATATATTGGCATAGAGCTATTCAGCTTAAGCGCTTATACCAATGATCTGTGTTTCTTGCACAACAAGACATATTGGTTATGTCCATTGAGATCAGATAGCTCATAATTGACAAATTAATTGAAAGAATTAGAACAATAATATATGCCAATATATGTGTTTGATATAATACACTTAAAATTTAAGTAAATGGAAGCTGGTTTGCAGACCATTTAATATGAGATAGTGATACGCTCAGAGAATGTCTTCATGAAAAGTCTGGGCCAGTTGTGGGTGTTAATAAGCTTTATAATTTAATAAATCCGTTACTGGTGCAAACTAGCCACAGTCAAACCATTGTAGTTACAATCTAATAAATCCATTACTGGTGAAAACAGGCCACAGTCGAACCACCGTAGTTATTATCTAATAAATCTATTACTGGTGCAAACTGGCCACAGTCAAACCACTGTAGTTACAATCTAATAACTCCATTACTGGTGCAAACTGGCCACAGTCAAACCATTGTAGTTACAATCTAATAAATCCATTACTGGTGTAAACAGGCCACAGTGGACTCACTGTAGTTACCATCTAATAACTCCATTACTGGTGCAAATTGGCCACAGTCAAACCACTGTATATATATATATCATCTAATAAATCCAATTTGTGTGCAAATTGGCCACAGTAGACCCACTGAAGTTAATATACAGTAAATTCATTACTGGTGCAAACTGGCCACATTCAAACCATTGTAGCTACTATGACTTTATTTGCGGTTAAGTAGACAAAAACAAGATCATCATAAATAATTTCACACAGAAAGATAAAAAGTGGCATAAGCAACTGGAATCTGCCAGATGGAATTAAATGAGCATTCATCCTTAGACCGCTGTTTTCACAAAAAGATCATTTACGTTTTAGCTCATTCTATTTAGATTTTGCAATGATCCATCCATCTGTTAACATTATTGGGTTAGAAAGAGTTTACATCAGTATGTAAGTTAATTATGTGTTTTGTTTGTTTTGAGATAAACCGCTTTACGTAAATAACATATTTATGCTTCTTTTCTTGATTCCTGACTACTTTTTAACTTTCTGGTTGAGTTTGACAATATTTCAGAAGATCCAAATGAGCTTAAAATACATTGTTGGATTGTTGGATCAAATTTGTTATTAATGATCAATTATGTACTTTTGTTGTTGTTGTTTTTCCTGTTAATACAGCGTTGTTACACAGGTCATTATCGATTACTTTTTAGCTAATAGTAAATTGTTTATCTCTCTTAAGAAGAAAAATGAGAAAGTAATAATATATTATGGTGTGGATTTAAATTGTTAAATTTCTGAAGAATGCTTAAAGAGCTGCACAGCTTACATGTAACTTATGGTTCGTAAAACGTAAGAAGCACACGAAGCTTATATATCTTATTAGTATAACCTTCAAGTAACTGACAGTGCCTTTGGGTAATTTAAAACTGTTCGTTGGTGACAATTCAGAATAACTAATGAAAAACCAGTACTCATGTGAAACTCACCAGCCTAGAATATACGAAAATGTTACGTGTCTTTTTGATACTTCTCTAATATTGTCATATTCTAGAGTGTACGAAGTGTCTTACTCAAAGGCACAACGATTAGGCACGAGTGAGGTTCGAACCTGAAACCTTTCAATTTCTAGTCCAAAACGTTAACCACTAAGCTACACTGCCCTTTGTGTAACATCATTAACTCGTAAATATGCCATGTTAACCATGGGCCTTCTGACCTTGACGTAGATGAATACATTATGAGCTTTACTGTATCCATTGTATGGTTAGCTATCTTGCCTCTGTTTTTGGTGATCTTTGTCAACCTAAAATAGCTTCAGGTTTGTATTGATGTTAAACAAACAAAAGCTAGAAGCTTCATATAATCGATGTGTAACAGTCGATCTAGTTTTAAGCATAACAATGTCAGAAATGAGAAAAAGAAGCGTGCTGTAAGTCCTAGTGCCAGACTTACATTTTACAAGCGTGCTGTAAGTCCTAGTGCCAGACTTACATTTTACAAGCTGATTAAAGCAAGATCCTATTTAGATCTTTCGATTTCAATGGGCATTAAAATCCTATTTGGATCTTTAGATTCCAATGGGCATTGATACAAAACGTCTTCCACATGACTGTTAAATAATTTTAGTTTAAAATTTCTCAAAAACAAATTATAACCTTATAATACGTTTTTGACTTGAGTGTTTGTTTGTTTGTAGTTAAGCTACACAATAGACTATCTGTGCTCTATCCACCACGGGTATCAAAACCCGGTTTCTAGCGTTGTAATTTCGCAGACATTCCGCTGTGCCACTTGGGGGCTGAACTAAGTGTATTAACATTATTTTTATACACACATCTCTCTGTTTTAGTATATTTTTCACTGTAATTATTTTATTTTATTTTCAAATTGTCACTAATGAAATGTTGTGAAAACCGGCTGATTGCCCAAGTTTTCTATCTCAATCAACTTTAAACAGCCAGGTTAGAATGATGATAAGATGGTCATCAAATGAACTGGTTTTAAAGTGTTTGATAAATTGAATGTTTTTGATCAGTTGTTTGATTTTAATGAAATACGTCTTGCTTGAAACGTTGTGTGCTTCAAAATATTAAATAATATTCTGATATATTTTGTTCTCCTGAGAATATTGCATGGTATATTGCCACAGAAAAAATAACGTCTATGCTCTCTTCTCTCTTTGTTTGTCATTTTCTGATGTAACACACTTGTATTTTTTTATCTGTTTCACACAGATTCTCCTTTGAAGTTCAAAATTACTTTCACGCAAGCGGAAGACTATCCAGTGGATCTGTATTATTTGATGGATTTCACATTTTCTATGACAAAACATAAGGAGCAAGTTGTGGAAGCTATTGAAAATATTGGTTAGTATGGCTAGTTTTTCTTACTATTTTTTTACATATCAAACTTTAATGTTTAGATATTCTATCTTGCTCCTATTTGTGTTGGAGTTTCTATATATACACTAGAGTTTCATTTGCAGTTTTAAAACGTACAGGTATATTCTCTAAAACATTCAGGTTAACTTAAGATAATTGAAGATGTTCCCATTTCTCAATCCCTGTCTTTATTCTAGTCAAAATCTCCTATAAATAAGCCGTAAAAAAACACCAAAAGTGTTACGGTAAAATTTCAATATCCTAGCCAATACTACGTGAATGGATTGATTAAAATAATGCATTATGTGGTAAATTTTGTTTATGGATTCTCACCTTTCCATACCATGGCTGTGGAACATCTTGCTGCAGATCTCTCTCTCTGGATGGTACAGGTGACTCAAGTTGATCCCTATTCCTATGTTTTTCAATGATATTACACAGAAGGGCTATCCCCTCTAGAATATTCTAAGTCCCCGATATAAACACATCTCTATGATCTAAGTGTATGAATATTTTACGTTGGAAATGGTTGTTAAGTATTACTTCCAAAAGCAACCAATGTCCGGTGGCATTACACAACCTACGACACGCCAAACATTGTTGAAATGTAGTCCTAGTATATTGCATTTCACCGCAACTAAATAATGTGTCACTTAATTTCCAATACCCAACTCCGGCTTTAAGGATTTGGTATATATATATTTGTTTACTACAGCAACAACATTTGTTTAGAAATTACCCGAACACCTCTTCTTTGAAGATTCATTAAAAGCGTCATTATATAGAAACATAACTAATAGCCAGATGAAACAACACCTTTGATGAGGAGCAGAAAAAAACTGACTTTTTTCCATCAGCTGGATTTGTGATCTTGAATGTAATCCAACACTTTTGGTGAGGTGCAGAAAAAGTTTGACCTTTTTCCATCAGCTGGATTTGTGATCTTGAATGTAATCCAACACTTTTGGTGAGGTGCAGGAGAAAGATTGACTATTTTCTATCAGCTTGATTTAGGTTCTTGAATGTAATACAACACTTTTTGTAGGGTGCAGGAAAAAGATTGAATCTTTCTATCAGCTTGATTGGGGTTCTTGAGCTTAATCCATAGACTACTTTTACTATTTTTCCTGTAGTAGTATAGCATAAGGAAACAAAGGTTGTCATAATTGATCATAATATATATCCTCTTGTCAGTTACCATCATTAAATTAAGAAGTTCAGCCCTTTTCACATACCTGATTTTATGATTGATTATATATAATTTTTATATATGTATTTAATGATTTAATTCTAACGCAATTACTTAAATATATCTAAAGAAAATGGTGCCTTAATTTTTTCAGATTTACATTTATTTCCCCTACTAATAAATTAGAAATTGAGAGGCCGAGCTCAATATTATTTCGAATATTAATTAAATTTTAGGTTTACTTTCTTTATCAGGTGGAGCATAATTTAAGAAAAGTAAAGAATTTGGTCTGTGCTGAAGATGAGTAACAATTTCCCAGAGAATTTTCTGCAAAATGACGAACAAAAGACTTGTGTCCAGTGACTTTTTCTTATCAGACATAAAAATGTTGAGTCACACCTTGATGAACTCAAGTTAAAATATCTGGCTGGATTTTTTAATCTTATTTTACGATGTAATTATTTTTATGAGTAGCTTCGATAGGATAAATATTGTTTTATTTCCTCATAACCTGCATACTCTTGAACATTGTAATGAATAGATTGTATTGTTCCCTAAGTAAAGTATACTATATTATTACCTCCGCCACCGAAGGTGACAGGAAGTTACGTTTTCACCCCTGTGTGTGTGTGTGTGTGTGTTTTGTCAGCAAGATTTATCGTAAACGGCTGAATGGATTTTGACGAAAGCTGTTCATTTGGACTATAACCAAACGTAGAAGTGATCAGTTTTTGAATGGTCAAGATCAAAGGTCAAGTTCACAGGTCCGAAAATCCAAACATTCCCTACCTGTTAACATGGGGACCGATTTTTCACACTATTTTTTCTATAACTAAGTCAAACATTATCAAATTTTGATGAAACTTGGTGGACATATGTAGAATGCTCTTCCTCATTGTTCTGCCAAAAATGGTCCGTGTCCGTTGATAACTTCGGACAAACGGACACATTTTCGTATTTTTTGAGAGCCGAATACGATTAACGCTGCGTGACAGAGGTATGCGCTGTACTGAGTGTCCTCTGGTTTATTTACTGTTACTTTCATTAACAGTACTGGTTATACTACTTAGTATATCAAATCTCATTACTTTTTAATTTTATTTATTGTTCATTAGTACACTTCTATTATGAACATGTTTTTACAGTGTTAGTTTAATATAGGTATTTAGGACTAACCTAACTTTGTTAAGCTTGTTGAACTTCGTGAGATATTATTGGGATTACGGGCGAAAATATCGTTAACATCGAGAACACCCAGCCGATGAAACAATGCATTCTAATATTTATAAGCAGAAACGTAAGAAAAATATATTAATTATCTATACTGATTGCCAGTTTGTTTTTAGTTTTGGTCTAAGTACACTGCTTGCTGTAACCGAAAATTAATATTAATCTGATCCAAAATTCATTGTTAGCAAAAATATAAGAATACAAACCCTCCATCTTCGAAAATATAAAGAGTTTGTTAGCATTTTTTCTGATTATTTTCAAACTATTGTCCTATTTAGTTGGCCATCAGCACAGCGTTCACATTTTCTATGATTGGTATTTTTTTAATCATTAAAGTTTCTCATATTTTAAACATACAGTTCATTTAATCAAAATTATTCTTTCCTTAGCTACTATGATTGTCACCTTTCGCGATTTTAAATACATTTATGTATTATATTTTTTATTGGTTTTTTATACTAAATTATTCGATCCTGTCGAGTCAAAAATCTTACATGGTACTTTGTTTACTAAGTTAAAATATAATTCTAAGATAAATATCTAACATCACAATTTATTCCAGAGCAATCCACGATTATAGGATATTAAACTTAGTTATTTTTAACAGACGTTTATCCTTTTTTTTTTCAAACACGATGTTGATACTTTATATTTCCATACGCGTATATAAATATAGGTCGTATAGGTCGTCAATAAATTAATGTCGCTTTTTTAGATGAAAAACCAGAAATCTTACATATCAAAACAAAACATTTATCAAATGAAATAGTATCCATTCTTATCGATGATGCTTTTCCATCTTACAATCAG